CCCCCCACTTCTTGTTTGTGTGTTCATCACGGGACTAGGTGTCATCGGTGTATTATGGGTCTATGACCTCCATGTGCTAAGCTCAATATCCATTAAGAGTGGCCCTTATTATGATGATACAAAATTAGCTGACATAGGTTGTTCCGTAAGGAAAAGACAGCAGGGTCGAGATAGGGAAGAAAGGGATTGATGAAGAACATTACAGCAGCCCTCGCTCTCCTGGCTCCAATATGGACTCAGATAGCAGACATATCTGGGGTCCCCGGAGTGTCGGTTGGAGCTTTCTATGAAGGGGAAGTTGTTTTGCGTCACTCGATTGGATATCGTGATCTCGAGGAGAAATTACCTTCAACAAGTGACACAATATTCCCCATTGGCTCCTTGTCCAAAGCATTTACGGCAGCTATCTACGGTGGCCTTGTTGATGAAGGCTTCCTGGACTGGGAATCTGCAATTCGCGAGAATCTTCCGGATTTTCGCAGCACTTCGCCGCAGGTCGAACAAAATGCGAATGCCATCGACCTCCTGTCTCATAGGACGGGGATCATAGGGGGAGAGACGTTTTATTTCCATGATCAGCCCCTCCTAATTGACAGCAGTCTTACTGCAACATTCGGCGGTCTTCCATCTGTCTATCCGTTTAGGTCAACGATGCAGTACAACAACCTCGGCTATAGTTTGACGTCTAAATTAATGAGCCTGAAAACACACATGAACTACGGCGACCTACTCGAAACATACATAACCAAACCCTTGGGAATGAATCGAACTGGGGTTGAAGCTGACCGAAAGACGGCACCGAATACCGCCAAATTGTATATGGTTTCTGAGGATGGAACAGCGGTCAGAAATGCACGGCCACTTTACTTTGAGAACTCGCAAATGATTGCTTCGGGTGGAATTTGGAGCTCAATCGATGATCTTCTTGTCTTTTACCAGGAAGTTCTGAACGCGGCATCGCAGCAGCTTAGAGGAAACACCAGTGCGGAGAAAAACCAGTCGCCATTGAAACAACTGAAAACATTATTAACGGGTCATACCTTTTTCCCCAGCCAGCGTCGATCTTTGAACGAACAGACCTACGGTCTGGGATGGATCAGGACTCAACTGCCAGGCGAACTGGGCGCAATCGGCCTGAATCCGGGGCTGGTGAAAAATATGCCCATTGTTGGGCGCAGCTCGCCTTCACGCCTAACGATATACCACCAAGGCAATGTACCCGGTGCGACGTCAGCCGTTTATCTCTTCCCAGACAGTTCGAGTGGAGTGGTGGTTCTCGCAAACGCATACGGTCTATCCGATGTGCCTGATTGGATTGCTCAATCGATCATTGATGTCCTTTTCGAAGAGGACACAGATACTCCATATGTCCAGCTCGCGCATGAAGCCGTGTTTTCCTACCAGAAATGGTGCGCGAAAACCGTCAACGACTTGGCAGCATTACAGCGGCCCAATTCGGCTCCAGCAGCTCTAGATGGCTTTTCTGGGGTATATGAGAATGGCGCGAAGACATTTAAGCTTTTGGTTATTTTCGAAGATGGAAAGCTCAAACTTCAATTCCAAGGTCTCCCCGAGGAGGAATTCGATCTGAATCACTCCCACGATGACGTTTTCAGTTGGTTCATCTCCCCGCGTGGACAGAACGAGCGAGGACGAAATATTTTTGCGGCATCCCACTACCTGGTTCGATTCCAGCGAGATTCGATTACCAGAAAGGTGACTGGGCTGAGATGGGCCCACGATGGTAGTGAAAATGGGGAGCTGTTTGAAAGACGCCCGGCACTACGTCTATTTGCAAGCTCTGTCTCAACGCTTTCTGAGAATCTAGATACCAAAGCATTGTCTATTTCGCTTTCTGTTATTATAATGTCTGAACTGAGGTTGAAGTGGCAGGCGAATCAGTCTCAAGCTTTGACAATATTAAGTCGGAGTATCCAGAGTATTGCCACATCGGTGGTTCTCTACAGTCTTATTTACTAGGCTTTGGATGGTCTTAGGTTATCCATGCCCTAATAAAAATACCCGCTGAGTTGAGACTAGCACAATAGTAGATATTGATCAATGACAAACAATTCCATGGTTAAGCTGCGGCACTGGGAGTCGGCGGGATACATCCTGCGCAGTCCATAGGCGCCAGGTCCGAGGCTGAATGCTGCTTCTCATCTTCCTCAAGAATCTTCTTCCGCGGCCGCTGCCCCAATGCGTGCTGTTCGGCGTTTGCCTCGTCGAGCTTTTCTGCCCAATTCTTCGAGGGCGAGGAGTTCGTAGAGCTGTCGGACGGCGAGTCCATTTTTGCTGTGTGACATTGTGGGCCCAACAATAAAAATCAATATGCATATCTTGGAAGAAGAGTACATGTTTGCAGTGTAGTAGTCTGGCAAAAGAAACGGGTAGCTATCAAGTGCCGTTCAATGCTACGTCGAGTAGGATATTCTCAGCGGAAATAACCAGGACGTGAACTTGCTGTATTCACTGCCTCTTACAATTTGGAAGCTCAACAATATCTTCCAAAGAACAACAACGGATGCCATGGCTGGTGGTACTAATAAGTTCAGCCTTAGGCTTCATTATCTACGGTGTTTGCTTTTCAGCCGGTGAGTTGGTAACCAGTTGAATCGCCAATCGGCTTCCGGACATGTGGAGGCTTGCTAATTGAACAGATACAATTCATGCGAGCAGACCGTTATCTCTCTGTATGCATATGAGTTTCTTTTTTCTGGCACTCACGAGGCTGGTGCTTGACGTCTTGATGCCCGCAATCCGCATGGGTGTCCTGATAGAATCAACGTCCTGCTGCGCTGCGCCAACTTTGGCGGCACCGTGGAATTATACACGAATGGCTTCATGGGAGAACTGGCGGGGGTATTAGAGGTATAGATAAAACTTACTATTCTACGCACTGAACAGGGTGCTCGACTGCGAACCTATTCTTCCTACTATGTCGCCCCGTCATCAAATGCAGAGTTTGAGATACGCGCAATGGGTGATATATTCAGCTCGGAAAAGCCATATATGATCGTCAGCCATATGCCATGGCTTCGCGACTCGCAAAAGGCAAACATCGGCTTCATGCACGGTCCACAGGAACTCATCACAGACGTCCGAGGAAGCGAAGACGGGTTCACCCTCGATCAGCATGGATTACGCTTCATTCGTCATATTTTTAGCCCCTTCCATGTCGGCGACCTGAAAGAGGTGGCAAGGGTCTTTTACCTGGGGGCTGAGGCATTTCTGAAACACCATGCTGACGGCGGAGATCGTTCGTTGTTCTTCGATTATTGTATCCGGTCCAATAAGTCTGAACTTCAGTCCAAACTGGTTGACGTGGCAAATAGTTCGCTAGCGCTGCCTCCTGCTAGAGGCGTGCATATTGGTACATGACGCTTTCTGACAACATTTTCTTTTACTGGTGACGTTAGATCAAAGGCCGGCTGGTGCGTTAAAACGAGTCCGATTGTGGGAGGAAGATGAGGCAGATAGTCTTATTGAAGGCCGTGTTAGGATTCTCAAGTAACATTCCACTTTGTCTACGTTGTCGAACAGGGCTGATTATGTGAAGCATGTGGGTAACTTACGATCATCCAATTGAGGATTGCCCCTTGCCGAGTGCGATGGCAGCACCGTTCGACCAGAAAACCTTTTTGTCACATAGCAAGAACATTTATTGGAGAGACGTCTATCCTTTATATGATCCAGATGCAAAGTGGTATTATCTACGCAACGAGCGGCCTGATGAAATACTCATTCTCAAAATATTTTACTGATGACAAGGTCCCTGCTACATATATGTTTAGATAAACTTCCATTGTAACCCTGCAAGTGAATACTGATAATATCATACTAGGTAGTCCCCACACCTCTTTTGATTCTGAGAATAGAAGACTAGATGCTCAAACAAGGAGAGCTTCGAGCCGCCCGATCTAGCAATTAAAACACCAGTAATTTAATAGAATGACGGGAGGAGATTGGTACAGTATAATATGTCCATATATGCTTCAGCTGGCAGACCTCTATTACAATAGCATACATATCAGGTTGTGGACACAAGCAAGCCTACGGCACCGTCAGTGCCATTGAGCTGTGGTTAACAAGGGAGCAAACCATCCACCTGCGTCAATTTTAAAACCATGATAGACAAAGTAACGAGATTGAAATACCTAGTGATCCTTGTGTGGGTAGCCCATGTTGGGAAGGATTCGCCAAGCCATCATGGTGCGACCCAGAAGCGTCACCAGCCTGGTAATCATAGTTCAATTGACTATTAGTGGATTCATGAACTAATTATATAGCGGGATGCATGACTTATAAAGGGCTGATTAGTTAAGTTCGCAGCACATTCTTGAGCCAGCCAAGTTTTGATTTGCCCACTTTAGAAAGGTCCATCAGCATTGCGACGAGGAGGTACACTGTGCGATACTGACCGTCGCCCTGATGTAGGAAACAGTAGAAATATATGAATGTTTGGATGACCACACGTCCGTGGCCATCGTCGCTCTACTGGGTTGTGTTGTTTGAAGATCGAGCTCTTATTGAGATGGTTGGTTTAGCGTACCACGCGGAGTTCACTATCCTTATGTGGATTAGCGCACGTCGCGGAGTGAGCTAAACAATACGACATGGTTTTCTTTTTTTTTTAAACAATTACCATTGCATGCTTCACTGTACCACAAGCTCGAAATACAGCTTGCTACTGTAAAGTGAGATATTCCAGCCCAATCTAGTGTGTAGTGTTGTTAGACAGTCCGTTTAATTGACTACCCCCTTGCAGTAGAGCTTAATGAGTTCTCACCATTGTACATATTATAACCAGTTCACAGGGTAAAATAGGGAGCCGATGCTATATCTTCGTTCAGACGTGGAGACACCGCATATTTGGCCATTGTGGTAGCCCAGGTGAAAGCTGGGACATATTTGATATTAGAGCATAGGCTCATCGGGGACTCCCTATGGCATGAATCGTCTGAAGACGATCGACAGCTGGTATGGATCGGCCCGCGATTTTCTTCTGCACAAGCATTGGCTAGCTTGAAGTTGTGCTCCTCTTTCACTTTCTGAAGAAGGAGGTGATAGATCAGAACCATGATCGCCCCCAGACTCGTCCAAGCTCCGGTTACTGCCGCGGTGACTGTTGCCGAGACCGACCACGTTCCTTGACGGGCGGTATAAACACTGACGCATGTATTCACAAAACCGGTGGCAGAGTGGATGAGGGTGGGACTGTAAGAACTGTCAGTCCCCTGCACCTCTGCACGCAGTAATCACTAAAGGACAGCTCACATGAAAAGATGCTGGTTTGGCCAAAGGTAATTCGTCCTCCACTGCCACCATAACCAGATAGAGCCGGCCCCGCCCACGATGCAGCACGTGGCAGCGAGTCCTAACAATGGCATATTTTGAACCGAGTAGTAGACAGCAGAACTAACTGCATTCTGGGATGCCATAGCCTGCAAGGCTTCTGAGTCACGAAGCGGTGTGAATGTTCCAGGAAATACCAAGTATCCAGCCAGCAGTATCCACGCAAAGCCGCTTGCTAATATATTATGGAACCAGGGAACATTCTCCTGTTCCAGCAGCATATCATTGTAGCGGGACTGGAATATGGAATTTGCTGGGGGTCGGCCTTTCGCAGATGCTGTTTATGATCGCCAACTAGTACGCACAGCAGAACATGCCCTCTTGAGAGTTTCGATTTTGGGGATTTTCTGGTACCAGTACCGCTTATATCTAGCCCAGTGCATAGTAGTCACTCAACGGACGAAATGACGAGTGTATCCCAGCAGCTTAGTTTTATCCAGCAAAGAGAGGGGCAATCCAGGTCGCGTGGTCTTCTATTATACGTTTTAATCGACAGGCTGAGCGTTGGTTGTCTGGGTCGACTGAAAATTGATGCAATAGGCGAGGAAAGTGTAGCGAATGATCTTACACCTAGTTAGCAGCTGATCATGAATTTCTGCGCCTCAAAGGTGGGAACTACACCACCTGGGAAGGCAGGAGGTTTTGCTAAGAGAGGAATGCGCAGCTCACTAGTACGTGTAATGAACAGGCATGCAGTGGACGGCATTGGAATAGGAATAGCTAGGTTTTGTACCAAAATTTGGCCTCGCCTTGAAGTCAGATCCATTACCTTTTTCTATGACTGAATGCGTCGGTCGCAAACCAGCATGTGGGTAGTTCATTGTGATATTAAGCGCATATGGCTGTGAATTGGGCCGGACCAAACGTATTTCCTGGGAATAGAAGACCGGTACTCTTATCTCGATTCTGGAATAAAGATTTCTGCGTATTATAATATCTGCATTAGAGATTCTGGGATAGATACATGCTGACATGATTCGTCTCCAGCAGTCCTCTTTCCACCGTTCCATGTTTCACCTCGGCATTATTGGCGCCATGCATGTCTTTTTTTTTTCACGGTTGGGGCAATATGGAGCGGCGTTGGAAAAGACGAGAATTATCGATATCCGTATTACAGTACCATTTGAATAGAAGTCCCTAATCATCCTCTCATTGATTCTCGGAAAGTCCTTGTCCTGATACCCACCTCCCAAAGAAATGACGCACGCGTCCACTCCTGTCTCTGGCATTGCGTTGTATCAAAGGGTCACGTCGTCTGCCTCTTGCACCCGAAATCCATCGCGTCTTCATCAGGTGAAGGTGCTGTTGAAGAACCATTGCCCAGTCTAGGTCGGTTTCAATGCGGTCGACTCGAGCGTCCTGGGCACGCACCTTTGCAGCGATACCCGCCTTTGTAGACACGGCATTCTGTTGCCTGATTGAAAGAAAGGCCAGCAGTCTGCGCACATCACATTGGATTTGATAGAATGGCTCCAGGGCGTTGCACAAATGCAGATGAGCCATTTCAACTACCGGCAAGTTCTCGATCTGTTCGTGCCATGCCCTGGATATTAAACACGAGACAAAATGGAGGGAGCCTCGACACAGCCCTTCGATATAATCATTTTGGTCGTCGGCCTGTATAAATATGCCGTGGAAATCAACGGATGTCTCTTTCAGCTCCAATTTCAGGGCGACCACTCGAGCCAAGCGGCCATAGATCACATTCACAATTTTGACTATCTCTGCGCATTGATCGGAAATAGTGGTTGGAGTAAAATCCATTGCCGTTGAACGTTGAAGGACTAAGAATCGATAGGGTCGGTGTTAAACTGGTAAGGCGCGAGCTGCGTGTTAAGGTGCCTTTCAAGCACAATGAAATCCCCTCTCCAGAGATATATACTGTCCAGTATCAACTGTTAGTGGGGATTAGAACCATAAGCTACTAGATAGTTGAGAGGTCCCGCTACGTGATAATCATTCGTTGAAACCTGCAACAATATCTATTATAACCTGTGTATTAGTTATACATACGTCCTACAATATGCGAACCAAGTCAGCCAAGACGCGCATTTCGCCCAGGGCCGAGATGGATGTGTCGTCGGTGGCTGGAACTTTATTTCTGTGAATCGTCTTACCCCGCGAGGTACACTAAACCAATTTGGGGATAGTGAATCTCGCGTGGTAGACTAAGGTTGGTACCACTCTCTACATATTCCCAGGCGTTACTCCGCATTTGGAGTTATTTCGTCACCGTACAGTTGATTAAAGGTACTTGGCAGGATGAAGGTGTATAATGAAAAAAATACAGTAACAGCTTCCAGCCAGAGCCACTCGACCTAAGACGGACGGCAATGCAACCCATAACGTATACTAATCGAAAGAGTAGTCCAGAGGATCTTATATACCCAGTCCATATAGCATACCCAGTGTGGTAGATATCCCAATTCTATGGAGCGGGAAAAATACATAGATAGTATATATGTACACACAAAAAGGTAGCTATTAATGCAGTATCTTGATTACCAGACAGTGCCTACTTCCTCCGCGCGACAAACTACTGGCCATCAGTCGAGGACTGGTCAAGGGCCGTCCGACGACCTAGCTCTGCTCTTCCAATCTGCCAGCTCAGATCTTCTGCCTGTTCCCAGCGAATCCCCATCATGGAAGCGACCGGCGACCACATCTGCAGACGAAACCTAACCTAGTTAAAAAAAGACCACAAGGTGTTCTCGCATGTGGAGTAGACATACTGCTTGTACCAATGAGCTATTTCGTTGAACAGCCGTTCTTCCTCCTCCCGGGTGTGTCGTGGAAATGGTGAGGGCATCAGGCGCGCCACAGCGTTGCGTCGAGATGATCCCTGTAGCAGATTGAGAGTAAGTCCACTGGGTTGAGGCCCCTCTGTTAGAGTCTGATCCGCACGAGATTGCCATTGCTTGGATGTCGGTGTTGGTCCCTGGTGTGGGAAAATTAAGGGGTGTTGAGGACGCGCCGGATGGTGAGGAGTCTTTCCGTTGATTGGGGTGAGCTCGAGCTCCTGTTTTAATCTCTTGGCGGCCAATATTGTAGGTCCCTCATTGATAGGAGACCTCGCGCGCTTGCGTGGATTGCTTTTCATCATTGATCGCGGAGACAAATCAATCATGTCGACCGGCATAGTGGAGCCAATGGCATGTTCGTAAGCGGCAGTAGGGGTGGACGGGCGCGAGGGAGGCACCCTGTTCTCCATGATCGATATCAAGAGCTACCTGTAGCTACTAACTGTCAAGTGTAGAACGTAAGATAGTTCAGATGGTGGTTGATCAAAGCAGATATGTACAGTGCAGTAGGTTTCTTCGGCTTTATAGAGATTACCAGGTGATTTGATCCATGGAACATAGAATCCATCACTTCATGTATCTGCTATCATTAACGTGATGCGAGACAGATCCAAGGATACGTTGTACATAGCTCGCCCTCGCCACCATCACATCCCTCCAATGCACACCAGTTTAGAACTTCCTGGAAAGCAACAGCACAATTCTTTCCAGAGAAGCCAGGGAATCTAGTACCCACTGAAATGGCTTTCCTCCAACTGATTCTGGAGGATGGTGATCACAGACTGCCAGGGATATGGCCGCACATATTACGGCGTTGGTACCTTTCCGCCCGGTGTATTTATTCAGCGCCTCAGGGATCAAAAGGGTCTTCACCTATTCAACACTCCCCCAAATCTTCTTGCTCTTCATTTCCCTGTGTACCAACATGGCAGCAACTGGGCAATTTGAGACCCATCATAACCAGCATGGTGTTCATTTTGCAACCGGAAATACCAATGATCTATACAGAACTCTCCGCGTACCAAGTGATGGTGGCCCGCGACATCCCCCCGCAGCCCTAGACCCTATTGCTGCAACTACAGCTACAGGGTTGAAAAAGCGACGAGCACGAATACTAAGCGGCATTGTCCTTCTAGCAGGAGCATTGGCAACTGCAGTATTGGCAATCATATTGTTGGCCAATCCATCGGTGAAACAAGGCGGGATAGCAAGCATCTCCGTAAGTGAAGCAGGGCACTAAACTGGGATGCTGTTATACTGATGATCCCCATCAATGCCTTGGATAGATGCTGACAATTGTATATAGATGGATTGGGGTCACCTGGCCACTAACGTTGAGCAACGAGGGTTGCCTTTTCCACCCGATACGCCCGACATACCGGGGACGGTAGAAAGCGCTGCCCAGGACGGTGTGACTGCTGTGGAGACACAGGGAATCGCAGTGGCCTCTGCGGTGACAAGTGCCGCCGAGTCCATTGCCACAGCCGCGCCACATCTCCCGTTGGGTCTCGCAGGGGTCGACTTGCCCAACCAATTGTCCATCGGCACTCGGATGATGTGCGTCCAGTACCCATCAGACCACCAAAAATGCCATCAGCTTCCCATAGACTTCAGTCAGATCTTCCCTGACCCCCAGCTACCACTCCTCGGGGACACCATCCGGTCTTTCGAACGCCTTGGAGAGATGGTCGTAACTAAAGTCATGGGGGCTGCTCAGCATGCCGTGGAGGCCGGGCTCGCGCTGGCCGTGGTGGACATGCTTACAGCGCTTTTTTTGATACGGCCCTCATGGGCGCAATACCGTTGGGTGAAGTGGACCATACTTGTTTTATTGAGTATAGCTTGCTTGGCGTGCTTCCTGGTCTCCACGGGCATTATCTTTGTTCTCCAGGCCAAGCTTGGGGATTTGCCCACGAACACTCCCTTTGTTGGATCTGTTCATTCTGGCGCGGCCGGACGGTACAGCCTGGGAGCAACCTGTTGTGCGGTGGTCATGTTTGGGTGCAACCTCGCCCTTGCCGCACTCTGAATCATTGGCCAGGATGCGCATTTATCTTGGCAGCGCAGTCTGTTTCAAAGCTGTGAACATCTGACAGCCCGACGCCAATCTGATCCATATACGGAAGGAGATTGTCTGAGAAAGTGAAGATCAGTTCTGCCTGGTTAGCAAAAGTACATCGGGAATGGATTGTTGCCATGATATTGAGTTTACGTAGCGTTTTCGATATATTCAACTGTTCTACAATACGGCGCAGTCAAAGTATAATACACTGATAGCTATTGGCACATAACACGGCATTAGGTCCTCTGCTTGGTAGCAGAGAAATAGACGTTTACAAGTTCAAGCTCGGTGAACCTTATATTACAGGGCGAAGTTGGATATATACGGAACCCTGCTTTACTTCACAAATTAATGGTTTCAAAACAGACAGAATGGCATGAAACCACTAGATTCCCGGGACGTAATTATCAAATCTCTAGACGTCTTGACTGATTCTTTCTTTTTTTTGGAAACAGCCAGCTGAAGCCATCTTGATACCACCTATCCATGATCGACATCTTGGATAGCTTTGACTATGAAAAAGAAAATAATGCCGCCAGACAGTCATGGACACTACAGCGGTATCTTCTGCTCCAAGCTTTGCTCCTTGTCTATGCCATTCTCGAAAAGAGTATCCAAAAATCCCGTGTCCGAGGCAAACGCGAACGTGTACGGTGCATCCATCTCATTCTGTAGGTCAGCTCTGGCTGTCTGGCCCTGTTGGTCTTCCTGATTCAAGATGTTGCCCGGGAAGAAAGTTTCCGTCTGACACGGGTCGGCGCCTGTCCCTGGCGGTGGTATCTGTATCGAAGGTCCTGGAGCTGCCGTTCTGGTAGGGTCCTGTGTGGATGCTGTGAAGTCCTTCGGACCTAGTCGTTCTGCCATGGGGAAATAGTGTAGCTAGAGCCTCCATTAACTGTAATGAAAATCACCAAGCAAATGCGACCTACTAATTGTTTTCGCGATGGTGGCCACTGAGTTGAATTCTGGTACTCTGTAACCTCTCCGCGACTGTCCTGAATGATCAGGTATGCTTTAGCTCCGAACAGGCAGCCATAGTCATGGGTGGATTGGACCAGCCGGTCTCTCCGCCGCTTCTCTCGCTCCCGGGCGTTTTTGTTGATTCTTTGTTGTCCGGATGCCCGCACGCGCCGTGAAGTCATCACGAGATTGCAGACGTCGCTGAGACCCTGTATGTGATTTGATCATTCCCGGTTTCAGGGAGTGATTGCTACATATATGAGTACCGCCACTACTCTAGACAAAATAGTATCTAACAAAGGGGCGCACTTTTCATGACGACCCGGGCTACTGTTTCAGATGTGATCTTGAGTGTGGTTTCGCACAGCACCCGGAGCACAGAGAGGGCCAGGGCTTCTCGTGGCAGAGCCTTTAGTACCTGATGGCTTCGGTGCACGAAATTATGCCATGAATCAAGTGTGTTCTAGTGTCATTTTGATTTCGGCCTTGAGCGCAGTACGTAACTAAACAATATCATAATCTAGGCAGGTTAGTATCTCAAGGGGTACAGCAAATTCACCACATACTTCCCATGAGAGTGCTGTGATTCTCCAAAATAGAGTGTGTCATAAGACAACGTAAATTCCTCTCTCGTCTATTGGCATTGGATTTAGATAACCTAGCAATCTGGAGAGTTGGTTCGTTGGCATCAAAGCGAATTGCAGGGCCAGCTTAATTGACCCTTATTTAGAAGGCCGGGTCTATAATCCTATTCGCGAGTTGATGGAAACATATTCTCAGTCATAAAGTGACCCCACAGTAATTGGCCTTAAGGCAGGATCCGCTCCACTACTTATCTATAGCGTATGGCCCTCGGCGTTCTTTAACTCCCTCCTTTCCTGCCCGGCGTTACACCCATCAGTCTCCGCTTTGGCTTCTCTTCTAGACCACTCCCACAAGCATAGTCAACAGCTATAAGGCTAGATAAAAGTATCCATGTTGGTCTGTATGGTCCAAAAGTGAATGACCTATAAATGAACTAGCATCCTCACTGTCGCGCCGAGAAATATCGTAAAAGGAGGGCAGTATCGTAGCCAAGCCGGCCAGGCACCGTAGTGAACCACTGCATATCGATCTATATGGGAATAGAATGGCGACGGTGATGGCCAAAAGGCGAGGGTGGGTTAATGAATATAAAACGACAACAGATGTAGGGTTCGTGCGTATGTAGAATGCCAGATTTACACCAAATATTCAATTCAAGTTCAGATACAATAGATACATTATACGATCAAGTTTGAAGACTGCAGACACCTCTCTAGTAGATGCAGCATGGCACATTTAGCAGTCACATGCGTCCAGCATGTGCGGTACCAACTTTCTCACTCCCCTTTGCTAGCTGCTTTTCGTCAACGCTAGCTACCTGATTCCACTTGGGTTCCAGGGTTCCACTCGGGTATCACTAGGTACCAGGAGCCATGTCAGGTTCCGGAGCACTCTCCTCCTCGAGTGCTACCAACCGCAGATTAAAGCCTATGGCCAGGCATGAGCATGCAACCAACTGAAAACCAAGAAAGTAAGCCGCACGTTGATTCTCCGATCGTTCTGCGTACCACAGCAGACAACCGAGGAGAAACGTGCCGACCGCCACGCACAGCATGCAGAATGGAATCATTGCTGATGCCAGTCTGCTGTGCGTTTGAGGGTCAGAATATGCTAGTTTCCAGGAGAGCAGTGCATCCCACACAATAGAAGCAAAGGCATAGACCACGGCACTGCCAAGCAATACTTCTACTGCGTCCAAGCGGTGGGTCAAAGGGGCCACGCAAAGTTGGTGCGCAGTCAAGACAGCAAGCGCGAGAACTCCGACAGCTAGCCCGATATAATTGATAGTATGATGCAGGTGCTGGGGTCCTCGATATGCAGTGGGCTCAGAGGAATTCGGCGATAGTATTTCCCGAGGAGCTAAATATGACCAGAGTAAACTTTTTGCGCAGCAGCAAGATGGAACTGACCGCCGTTGGGTATTTACATACCCAGTGAGCCACTCTGCGCTTGCAAGCCTATATCCGGCATACCAGGTTGCTTAATACCAATATCAGTCTTTCTCGTACGTTTTGTATCGGGCATTTTGAATGTAAGGTGTTGCGTTCTAGCTGAGCTTATTTACCCAAAGAGATGGATGGTCCGTATTGGAACGATTCAATCCAGCAGTTCCGGGGTTGGTTGAGAGTCGACATATGTTTTCAACAGGACCATCGCGGGATTTTATATGCAGCAGGAAGCGAGGCCTTCTCTAACTCAGCTTTATCGCCAGTAGGTGGGCGCCACTGGCAATACGCAAAGTCTTCCAGGCATACTCCACTATCCAGCTCTGAGTACAAACAGACACTAATTATGATCCATACAAGAGCGTAGACCCACCAAAATCCAATTTCTGACCCGTGGCTCCCCCCCCCTTCAACCGGGCTGCTTGGGAAAGTGGCTCGTTTGGATCTTGCTGAGATGTAATTCACCGTTCGTGCGTTTACTAAACCATGGACATGCCATTACATATACATAGTACACTACGTAATAATACAGAATCTTGGCTAAGTCAAAGGATTTATCGTAATGAACGACTACGATGCAAACCAAAATCCTGGAATGTTGTACTCTCCTCCCATCGACAGGCAGTTTCAGAAAATGTTACGGATTGTGTACAAGGGTAATGTAGGGACATAGTCAGGATTCTCATTTCACTATGGTTGTACTTTCCTCTATCGCAGAACCTGAATGGTCTGCACGCAGCCGATCGATAATGCGCACTCGGCGAGACGCTGTGGTGGGTGCCAGGATATCCTTTTGAGCCTTTTGCCATTTGGGTCGAGCGCACGATAGCATCTACTTGGACTTAGTTTATACTCCTTGTATTGGCTAGCAGAGCCGGATCAGTCTTCCATACCACTTGCCTGTCAAACCTATCAAACAGACCGCGGTCTCTTGATTTGAAGACATGTGTTTGGTCAGTTGAGCCGATAATAATCCAAAGGTCGACCCCAAGCCGGCTCAACTCTTCACACTTTTTAAAGATAGTCTTCCTCCGCCGAGCCGCATTCCGGTGGTAGCCAGCGGTCTTCCGCTCTGTACCCATAGTGATGCCGATAGAATAGAATAGATGTGATAGGGGTAGATGAGGGTAACCCGCAAAGATGTGATTCTTGCCGCCCGATCTGGGAAGTAAAACACCCGTAATATATGCTTGAGCTGGCAGACCTCTATTACAGTAGCATACATATCAAGCTGTGGACACTGGCGGGTCTACGGCACCGTCAGTACCATTGAACTGTGGTTTACAATGGAGCAAACCATTCACCTGCGTCAATTTCAAAACCACGATAGACAAATTAACGAGATTGAGATGCCTAGTGACCCTTGTGTGGTGTGGATTGAGCCAGAGAACAATGTCTCTGGTGGACCCTACCCCGCGAGGTACGCTAGCCCATGTTGGGAATGATTCGCCAAGCCATCGTGGTGCGACCCATAAGTGTCACCAGCCTGGTAACCATACGGAGTAGTTCATATCATTGATCATTAGTCGATTCATGAACTAATAAATCGCTGGATGCATGGCTTATACGGGGCCAATTAGTTAAGTTAGCAGCACGTTCTTGAGCCAGCCAAGTTTTGCTTTGTCCACGTCAGAAAGGTCCATCAGCATTGCGACGGCGAGGTACACTGTGCGGTACTAAACAGCGCCTTGACGTAGGAAACAGTAGAAATATATGGAGCGTATGGATGACCACAAATTCGCGTCCGTGGCCATCGTCGCTCTGCCGGGGTGTGTTTGAAGATCAAGCTCCCATTGAGATGGTCGGTTTAGCGTACCACGCGGAGTTCACTATCCTTATACGGATTAGCGCACGTCGCGGTGTAAACACATGTTTTCCACAATCTTGCCACCGTAGATCTGAAGACTGTTCGTTAGCGAGAGATATTTCCGCAGCATTAGGAATGGACCCAGTCCAACCTAGCGAACCGCATTTTGAACATAATCCGGATGCCATAAATGAAGAATCATACGTCTCCAGAACCGGAAAGCTCTTCAGATACTACCACCGATGTTACGCAATTTAGAGCACTTCTTTATATTCACTCGATCGTCTATAATCCGAATAATTGAAGACTGTGCTTGGATGGCCGTTTGATGTGCTTTTGCGTCCACCAGATCCCGATAGCGATTTCTCAGTGTGACAGCACCCGTGGTGCAAGGAGACGTCGAGTGTTTACCCCAGTGAGTCTGGTCAGTAGGTATTGGACATTGTCAGAAAAGACTGGCGTCACTAATTGAGTTGATAGAATCACGCAGCAAGGATGCCCGATAGACAGCAGAGAACAGCATCTCGAAGACACATTGCGCGCACACTCCCCTATCGCAACCATTCACCGTCCTTGGCGGTCGTTATACCAAAAGCCAAGCGGAACACTCCAGGATCACACATAACCAGCCATGTTGGCAACAGTCCAGGTGTGGTTGATACTAGAGCCATTGCATGCGCTTCTAATCAAGCAAAGTAGACAATCCAATTGTGATACCGGACGACTCGGTTTCAAAACGCGCAACGATAGCATCACCCCACTCGACTCTTCTGCGCGTCAAAGATATCCCGCACGAAAGCAGTGGACTTACCTGCCCCATTTGCTGGGAGAACACTGTTGATGGCCTTGTTGCAGTTGGATGTGGCCATGTGTGTCATCAACAGTGCTTCAGTCAATATATCCGTCAGTATTTCGAGTCGCGCCTGTTGGCTTCGGGAAAGATACAGATCCCGTGTCCATTGTGCCGAGCCGATTGTATTGGGCGGCTGGAGCGATGTCAATTCCACCAACCGTTGCATTTTGTCGTAGTAGCTTATAGCGTAGCTGTGGGCCGAGCAAAGTACCGTCTTCCGTCTTCCGTCTCTTCCACAGCAGTCCTGGCTCTTCCTGAAGCAAATCTAAGCATGATGACCTTGGCGGCAGTTGTCCTCCTGCTGTGTTCATCCCGATCCATTACTTAAATCATTTCACTAATCCTTTTGTTGATCAGTCCATTACCCCGTAAAAGCCATATCGGTTTCTTGACGACTCGACTACCTCGTCAATATGGGCTTGGAAAGGGACCTTTAATGTATCAGCGCTGATAGCGGCAAACACAGCGCGTTACTGCCTAGAGGGGTGCCATTTGAGAGTAAGGATAATTTTGGTGTGTGCGCGCCTAAAGTTGCTTCCCAATCAATGAAGTCCCGAAACACATGCTACATAGTCGGCTAGGCTCAGTGACTCTAACCTTATAGTTGGGCGCTTCCATTCGTAGCTTTTCATCTCCACGACATGTTCTATTTATCAAAATCCTTGAAAGACATGACTAAACACAAAATTGGGGGAAGAGCAGCAGCATATCGTTAAATTACACAATCTTAGTTGCAAGACACCACACAATTTTCTTTATCATGTCACGTGATCCAAACGGAGGCGGGGTAAATGTTTCAGCAAAGTGTCCCGAGCTCGGATTCTTGTCAGTACACCAAAGTTCAAAGGAATCAACAGATAATTTCCCTCTCTGGTGAGTAGTGAAAGTCTAATGCCTGGAGTTCTTTTTGTCGCTGACCGACTCTGGCCGAGCAATAGAACCCAGAGCTTGCGGTGGCGCAGGTGCATGCTATTCCTCGATTTTTCATGTGGGGCGTCCTATGGAAGGTATTGAAGAAACTCAAGCTTATTTGACTGAAGGAACGAAACTATAAACATGAGCGGGTCCAGTGGCAATGGAATCACCCAGCAAGATTTAGAACCCATCGAACGTACGGTTGTAGAGGAGATCAACAGCTGGATGTTGGCAAATCCCAATGCAGAATGGAAACAATCTTCACGGCTCCGGCTTGTAGAACAATGTTCGGATGCAGCATTACGAAAAATATTACAGAAGCTTACGGAGGTCTGTCTTATTGCCGTATTCATTCGCGCATTCCTGCTGATTGTTACAGAACTATAGCGTCGTTTATTTTCGGACGGCTCATTCAGGCTGGGTCTTGACGGACGGAGAGCTAGTTCTGATTTCCCCGAGCGATAGTTGCCTAATTAAAGATGATGCTGAAGATAGAAGCTATCCCCTGAGCTATGGGTCAAAAGTGTGCTTCTCTAAGAAGGTCAGCGTGGAAGTGAAGGGAGATTTAGTCTATTTCGTTTGGAAGGTCAAGAAGACAAATGTTTGACAGTAAATTCGCTACTGTATTCAAAGCTATTTAGGGAGAAATAAGGATATTCTGTCCAGCCACTTTAGCCCGTAGACTCTGGTTCAACGAACTCGAAGTCATATAAATCAAGCACCGGACCAAGGACCTCGTCAAAGTCTGACAAATGGAGATCCCAGTCAACGTGACTCCCCTCAGGCCCCGAAGATTCAGGGGTTGACGATTCGCATGAGCCTCTAGTATCACGGGAGTGTCGTCGTTTCCTGGAGCGGTTTGGTTCCCTGTCCCCCTGTTTGGCGGTTGGCGGATTTGGGCTTCCGGGAACCCAGATCAATCCAGCATGATAATCAAGAAGAGTTTGAGCTATCCGATTCGCATTCGATTTTACTGATTGCTCACTGATTTTCAATTTTTGTAAATGCTCTATAGACGATTGAAGGTCTTTCTCTCTGAGACCTCCAACGTCCCAACTGGGAACTATCAGCTGAGTAGAATTATGATGTGGAACAGCCAAGAGACTTACATAGTGTCCGGGATAGACGGAAAGAACAATGCACCATAATCTTCCCCATCTCCAGAGCCATCTCTCAGTCTGTGGCAAAACCCCTTGTGTCTTTGTCCGCGTCGAATTATATCCCCATACTCATTGTAGTTTTCTTTAGGCAGTCCGACTCGAGTGAGGAATTTCTTGACGTTGGAGTCGTAAACCCGATCATTGGATGCCATTGGAAATGCTCGCCGAAAGAGGTTGTAGGCCGAAAGAGCCACGAATCTGCGAAGAATACGTTGCTCTTCAATATTGGCTTCTAGTTGCGCTGCTCCTTCGAGGAAAGTTCGAGCTCTATTCTGGGTTTCGAGACCACTATACTTTGGCAATGTTTTGGCGATATTCTCCCAGAACTGAAGGGGATCCTTCTCAAATTCACTGAACCGAGCCTGGAGGCTTGGAAGTACTTCGAGTTGATCTATTCGACAGACTCTAGAGCAGTTCGTTTGAGAGCTGGACGTAGTTGTAGTGAAAGCTTTCCGTAAAGGGAGATACAGCTTTCGAAAGAATTCGCGATCTTCGTTTTTCTCAAAAGAACCGAAGGGCTGAGTCGGTGGAAGCTTGCGTAAAACGTTCATCACCTCACCATTGGTCAAAGGCTGTTGAGTGCTTTTGCTAGTCCTTTCCCTGGTGACGGAAGAGGGCATAGGCCGTTTCTTTCGAGGGGTCATCTTAAAAAAGAGTGTTGTAAAATTGATGTAGTTTGATGGAAAGAATTCCTTTAGACGATGCGATTATCAGTGCGCATAACATGACTATTCCAAGAGTGATGTGTTGTCCGCCGCGCGATGAGCAACACGTCGGTTTTGGAATAGTCTGCTTAGCCACGACAAGATCAGTTGCTCCCACTGGTCAATATTTGCTGCACGGGCTCAAATACATGTGCCCACGCGTCCTGCATGCTGGAATAGAAATTAAAGATGTCGTCATTTACAATTATGACCGACTTGGACTAGCATTTAAAGACAAATCCTTCTCGGTCAACATTACGATCCATCTTTTTTGGAAATTTTTCTCTCAGTCAATATGGATGATGGTCTGGACTACGTCGATTTTGCTGTTCAAAGAGCCCTTAAAGTTCAGAAACACCTGTGTATGAATACAGACAAAAATAATATTCCCTCTGTACTCACGTTCTTTGACCGCTGTGGGTTCTATCAATCCTTGGATCGAAAAAGGTATGAAGATGCGAAATCATCTTTTATATTCTGTGGCTTGATATTTGAGGCCTACATGCTTGTCATCCAAAGAGGCGAAGTCATAGAGCCAGGGACACTCTACTGTTTGGAGCTCTCTTCGCAAGCTGTTGACAGTATGGTATCTGTTATAAAAAAGTGAGTTTCTGGAGCTCGCTTGCAAGGATCAATAATTGACAGTCGCCCAGCCCAAATAACAACTCCAATCTCGGTAATCTTTGGCTCAAATTACGGGAGCTGCAACTTGACTTCAAGGTGACGGCTTGCGAGAAGCTCGGGGCAGTATTCAATAAGCAGCTTGCCGCCAAGATCGAAATGCAATTATTCTATTTGGAAGATATTGTAAAGGCGGTTGACAAATACTACGCGCTGTCTTAGCTAAGGTTATCTCGCTTCGAACCTGATTTGCTCAGTTGTTACACCCGTTTCCCAAAGTACAACCGTATCAGAGGAGATTGAAGGAGAGGGAGGGGGATAGGGGAGGAATTCGCGGTAATTTTAAATGTGTTCACTTGAATGATATTGTCAACGCTTTATATGATTGAGATATACAGCCGTTGGGGCCGCGATTGAAGAGACGTAGTCTGGACAAAGCTGTAGTTTTAATCCGTACAACCGCCTATTGCATAGTCGGAGAAATCGTATCCGTAAAGGCAACTATTTATGACTACTCGATACTTTCTGGTTCTGTTCTTCTGATACTTTTGACCTACGGCTACGATATTATAAGATGCTTCTGCAAAACCGGTGCACAAAATCTATTCTCTTTAATCTTTTCTCACCATCCTAGTTAGTACAGGATATGCGTACATTTTTCCACAATGAAAGCTTAGGTACTAGTTTACCTACAGGGCTAACTACAGTCTTATCTCCATACGGACTAGCGTATGACCAAATGAGAAAGCACGATAGCTAGGGTTCAACGGTACCAGTCTGGTAACACAAACTCCCCGCTTGCCACTATGCTAACTGTAACTTTTGTGTTGCTGGACGCCTTATTAGACATCGGAAAATTGAAGGCTAACATGTTACATCACTAATACTAAGCATATTAAGCTCTTATCTCGGTCTCAGCAAATGGCGGATAGCCCTTTCATTTATAATGATGCTTCGCAGCATCTCGCGATCGACCCATGGGATGACACTTCTCAGCATGCCCCGACCCCCGGTAAATTTTGTCGGTCACCCGTAACGTCGTCCTGTCCCAGCCCTTCCCCGCATCGTACCTTGCAGCCACGCCAGCGGGGGCAACTTGGGTTTCTCCCATTGGGTGAATGGGAAGAGGGGGATGAATACGAAGAACACCCGCCAAGATATACTTGTTATACAATTGCATGGAAAGATTATCAGCGGGTTCGATCTGAAGGCACGGCAATTACAGTATCAGTGAATAACTAGTCTCAGAAATATCTTGAAAAGTTTTACAGTTCTACTATTATTAACTGGGGACCAGTGGAGAAGCAGCTGCGTAAATGAAGCAATCTGCTTGTATTGGTAAGAATATCAGGGCTGTCATTTCCTTCAACTACAGGCAAGATGACGTGGACGCTGTACCTGCGTCAAGAAGAGTCGAAAAGAGAGGTTGTGTGTCAGCAACTAGCAGAATGCTGGCTGAGCGTGACGCACGTATACTATGTATGTATGTATGTATTTCGTTTACCCTGACCTCTCGCGTTTGGCGATATGCAGGCTACCACAACTATGTGACCATATTTGTCTCTCTCATATACAATATACCGCTTCATATGGGCGAAATTTGAGCCTCGCCTTAGGGCCTGTGTTGGCCATTTTGCCTTCTTGTTCCATTATGTGGCCTCCGTGGTCCACGGCCTCGAAACCTTTAAGACGCCTCCGCAAAATCCAACACAGCGTTGGGAACTTTGTGTTGGGCAGGGCAATTAAGCTTACCTTCTTGGTCTTGTTGAGCCTTACCTCCAAGCATCAATGATATATCATTTAAAGCCCCCCCAATCTCCTTCCGTAGTTTCTGTCGAATGATTCGCAGTCTTGGGCAGTCTACCAGGACATGAAAGACTGTCTCCTTCGCTCCACACTCACATTTGTCGTCTGCACGGAAGCGTAGCAGCTTGCCATGTGAGGCGAGCCAGGAGTGGCCTGTTCGCAATTACATTAATAAGTACGCGCGATTTCGCGGTAGCGAGTTGTAGACTCTCTTTGTGCGGCTTGAGGGCAGCGTTTTGTCGATTCGTCGGAGATGTGCACCTCTACTTGAACTTTTCCATTCATTTTCCCACTCTGAGAAGATTGGTTCTCTGATATATCCTTTTTCTTGTGATAATAGGTTCTTGAATGGATGTGATGGAGTTGGGCCAACTGCCTCTTTAGCCAGACGGTCCGCTGCGTCGTTCCCCGGATCATTGGAGTGTCCGGGGATCCACTGGAGACGGAGTCTGATGTTTTCTGCCCTTAGCCCCCTAGCTGCTTTGAGGATGGCATGTACTATACTTGTCCCGACCTGCTTGGTGGGGTCTTAATTGCTTGCAGGGCGGATTGACTATCACTTAGAATTGTGGCTACCTTCTTTTCTTTGGGGACGGCGTCATTGTGATGGTTTCTGAGCCCCATGCTCGAGATCAACTCAACGGCATGGTAAATGCCAATAAGTTAAGCAGCATGGATCGACCAGTGAGTGGATGGTCCAATGCAGATTTGTCGTGACGCTATGATTTCCTCACTTCGGTCCAAGACCACTGCAGCTGCGCCGAGATTTCCGTGGTGTCCTGACCCATCGGAATACACTATGATGTTCGACTTTGCTCGAAGCGCTGACGCTCTCTCCCCGGCTTTATCTCGGTCTAGTTCGATCTCGATTCCTTCAAGGGCTGGTGGGCTCCATGTGCCAATGGTTTTGGATCAATCGTTTCGAGGGCCTCAAGTCGTTTGAGGTCCATGGTTTTCATGGTCTCCGCTAGGGGGAACCAAGGATTGGTCCCTATGTTCCGGCTTTGTTTCTTGGCCCGGGCCATCACTTCGTGTACTGGGTGATTCGTTGGGAGCGTGCACAGTTGGCCGATGACGTTCTGCACTCTCTGTCTAAGCCGCAGCCGGGTCGGCAGTATATGCGACTCTACCTTTAGCGTTTGTGATGCAACTGTCCTGAGTGCTGAGAGGGTTCGGATTAAGGCTGTTCTCTGCACTGTTCCAAGTATCCTCAAGTGCGTCTTGTCCTTCAGTGGGTTGTGCCACACTGATGATGCGTAGTCTGTAATGGGCGGCACACAGGCTTGATAGAGTTGCCGCATTTGTCCAGGCCGGAGATGTCGCATGCCACACATGGCTATGTTCATCTTCATGGCTCGCTTTATTGCTTGTTGCACATGCTCCTTCCATCTCAATTCTCCATCAAACACCACTCCCAGGAGCTTGGTATTGGCGGAAAGCGTGATGGTTGTCCCATGCATCCTAAGTTGGCCTATCCCTTGTTCTACTTTCTTCCTTGTGATGTGGATGAGCTCCGTTTTGTTCACTGCGAAACAAAACCCTGTGCGTTTGGCCCATGCCTCAATTTGCGGAATGTCTTCATCCTGGATTTCCTTGAGGTTTTCCTCGGCCGACCGCCCGACACGTCATCGGAAGTAGTCGTCGATGTAGGCCGATGCGCATCCATCATAACCAACAGGTTGTTCCACCAGGTCAGAGTTGAAGAACGTGAACAGGATTGGCTATAAGGGCGACCCCTGAGCCAAGCCCGCGTTCTCGAGAGGTACCACTGGCGAGTCAAAGTCGTCGAACAAGATGCTTGCTGAGCGATCCTCCATGAAGCTGCGGATCCAGTTCCTTGCCACGGTTGGGATTCCTTTGATCTTTAACTGAGTGTCGAGACTCCTTTGGTTCACCCCATTAAATGCCCCTTTCAGGTCGAATGCCACAAGAGTAACCATCTTCAGTTTCAGCCATGCTCGGTCAATGGCGTTAGCTAGCACTAAGAGTGCCTGCTCCGTGTTCCGGCCAGGTCAACCCCCAGATTTCGTAGTTGGGAGTAGTCCGTGGGTCTCCGCATAGTACGACAGCCGTTTCGCAATGACTGCTTTAAGCAGCTTCCCGAGGGTGTTCAGAAGTTAGATGGGTCGATATGCGCCAGGGTCTGAGTAGTCCTGTTTATCTGGTTTCTGCAGGACCATGATTCTCGCCCGTTTCCACTGCCTAGGGTGATAACTCAACTCGATTGATGCAGCGAAATGCGGGTGATCACTCCGCTGATGTATGGCCATAGGCGTTTCCACACTAGCGTTAGGATACGATCCTCTCCAGGGCCGGTGGTCCCTTTGGCCGCCCTAAGCGCTTTGTGAATTTCATGTTCCTCTACGGGCTCCCATGGGATTTCCTCCCTCTGGGGTGTGATTGGGCTTTCTTCGGGGTCTGCCATTCTCGGAAAGAAGGTTTCCAGGAAGAGCTCTCCTTTGGCCTCATTGTCTGAGACTTCTTCCGTCCCATCTTTCAACGGCGGGATGTTCGCATAGTTGTCCCGCGGGTTCATGTACGACGCTACCTTCCACAGGTGACCTTCTCCAGCTTTGTCAAGAAATTCTCTCCAGTGTGTTGTCTTAGCTTTCTCTATGGCCCTGGTCCATACTCGGCGTTTTCTCCGCATCTCTCCGAAGAGAAACATGGTCTCCGGGTTCTGGCTGCCTTTAGTAACACAGCCTTCTTGCCATCTCCGGCGTGTTCGATTCACCTCCCGTTGCTGAAACTTCAACTCAGGATGGAACCACCGCTTCGAGTATGATGATGCCTTCGCTGTTGGTATGTGAGGTCGATTGCGGAGGTGGTGGATGTGAGCAATAATTCCACCGCGTGATCAAGTTCTGCTGCAGAACCCAGTGCAGGGATCGGGTCTAGTGCTGTCTGCACTATCCGTCCGATCTTTCCCAGTCAGCTTTATCGTATATTTTCCTAGGTTTCGGTTCAGGCCTGAGTCTTGGTTGGAGAGACCATTCCGAGAAGGTCGCCCGGTGGTTGGACCCATAATGATCGCTGTACAATTGACACTTGATGAGTCTCCCCGGAGAGTCCGTCACTGTAAGTTCAACGGTGGAGTTTTTCCCCGGGTGGGTTAAGGAGCAGTAGGCCGGTGTTCCTCGAGGGAGGCAGCACCGGAGTTCATGTCCGTGGAAAGTCAACGAGCCTGCGAGGACGTACGCAAAAAAAGGTGATGCCCTGAAACGAACGAAGTGAGTGAAAAAGGTACAACACCCCTGAGCGCCCCGCAAAAACTTGCAGGAATTTCACTCTACTTCTTCTGCATACGCGCACTTGTCATTGGTCTTGATGATTTTTCCTTTTTCGAACAACTTTTCTATCTAATTTCAGTCTAGTGTACAAAACAATGGTCTTGGCCTGCAGATTTCTTCTCTTTACTCTTCTTGCCATTTGCTATTCCCAGATCTATGATATTGGCTACTGTTGCTACGCACTTACTTCCATTGCTACGGTCCTGTGCACCTCGTATTCCTTCAACTGACGCTGCTTCGTTGCTCCTTGCATGTGATGCATATCCATCACTGTATTTGGATGCTTTGCTGATTATATATCCATACTGACCCTGTGAGTGCTGGTACGCCATTATGTTACGTCAGCAGTCATGTCAAGATTGTGGTCGCTTACTTGGTATATCTTCCCGCCGTCAACCTGCACGATGTTCAGCGTGTCGTCTAGCACGTTTACCAACTCCTGTAGAGACACGCCCATGTTCGGATTGCAGCATCCCTATTCGTGCAAATGGTCCATACATTCGCCGTGAGGTTTGTCGCCATTCAGCACGTTTACATCGTTCCCAAGCTTCCACCAACCTGGCGATATATTATTGTTGTGACTGCGGCAATCTTTTCGCAAATTCTACCCGCTATGCTCGCTGTATGCGCTGCCGTGCTGCAAGATCAAGGATCTCTCGATCCGGATATGCGTATGCTGAACAGCCTACATAACATAGTTACGCAGCGTCCAAGTTCATCACACCATTTATCAACCACCAATGACTTTCACCATATGCCATCATCTGCTCACCCAAACACCCCCACTATTGCTTACAAAATCCGCGGGAATGCCACACTTATCGATAATTGGACCGGTCCTTGTTACTTTACCGCCGCCTTTCCGACCCTTTTCCCTGCAGGCATTGGGGGTCATCTGGATGAACGCGACACTCCTGTTTCCCTATCAGCTTTTGCAGAATGGGCATTGCATCACCATAGCAGAAGGTACCTCGTCTACCACATCCAAGGAGTATGTATTGTTGTTGATAGTTGCAGGTTTGCCCGTCATAGAACCTTTATGTACGTGATATATGACGTGCTGCAGTTGCGCAAGTCATCTGTGAGTAACAAGATGCTCATTAAACGTCAGCATTGGAATGCTGCCACAGATAATATTGCCTCATTGACGCTAGGCCAACTGCAAGATGCAGCAAAAGCCTTATCAACTGGCCAAAGAGTCGACGACCCAGTCATTCGACGGTTACAGCGGAATTTGATAACAATCGGAACCCATGCCCGGCTCTTTCGCCCAGAAGCTCCTTGTAGGTGTCCTTACCAAATCGTTCCGAAGCCACTCCCATCGATCCTTCGCTTCGCCTGCCGCTATTGGTTGTTCCTGCAAGTTCATTGATTTTACAGGGCATTCTAGTGACCTAACATTTGATACTTGTATACTCGTTGCTCTGGTCTGGTGTCGTGAAATCAATGCTGGAGACGCACTGTCCGTGATTCTGGGTGTCTTTCTGAATTCTGATACTAGAGATAGGTGCACTTGTTAGCCGAGAGTGAAACCTTTGCACTATCTATCTCATCACGCACGCTGGTGGATAATGGACGATGGTGACTAGGGGCATGATTTAGGTTTTGAGTAATTGTTGCTGCTAGCGGCCATCAATATCTACTTTTTGTGTATCGTTGAAGGGATGAAGACGGATAACGAGCGTAACACTGAAGCTTGATCTTGAATAAGACGGATGTGTGGTTTATAGGGATACATACGGTCAATTAGCGCACGCTAATGAGCTAGATCAGTTTTGTGTAAAATATGGTGGTCAAAAGGTCTTTTGTATGATTCAATCTGAATAGCAAGAGTGCCTTAGATTCTCCGCACATCCGGTATGATGATATGATAGAAAGCCAATCACTAACCATACCCCAATTGGCTGATGTAGCCGAATGCAGCGATCGAAAGATCAAAAATATTTACAGGAACTTGCGGCTATTCGGAAAAGTCCATCCCCCTTTAAATCATGTCGGACGAAGAAGAACCATAACGCCCCCGATGCTTGACGCCCTTTGTGAACATCTGCTCGAAAAACCGAGTCTTTATCTCGACTAGATGGTAATATTTATATGGGATGAATTTCGGACACTTGCAACAACCTCAAGTATTAGAAGGGCTCTGACACTTACAGGCTGGTATAAGAAGTCCATTCACCAGAGAGCCAAGGAACAGAATGCAGAATTACGGGAATTCTATCTTCATAATATATCAGAACTTGAGTCGTACCACCTAGTCTACGTTGACGAATCTGGTTGTGATAAACGAATCGGATTCAGGAGAACCGGTTGGTCACCGCTTGGTGTTGCCCCAGTCCAAGTGTCAGAGTTTCACCGTGATGAACGGTATCAAATACTCCCAGCGTATGCCCAAGATGGTGTCGTGCTTTCCCGCGTTTTTCGTGGTTCAACGGATGTCGGTGTATTCGAAGACTTTCTCGACCAACTTCGGCATTGTGCGAGATGGCCGGGGCCAAAATCCGTTCTAGTAATGGATAACGCATCGTTTCACCACTCTGAACGTATTACGTAGATTTGTGCTGATGCTGGAGTCAAGCTCATTGGCCTACCCTCCTTATTCACCGAGCCTTACTCCAATTGAGGAATATTTTGCTGAGTTAAAAAGCTTTATCAGGCGTAGTTGGTGCTACTATAAAGTAAACCCAAACCAAGGATTCGATAATTTTCTTAATTGGTGCATTGAAGCAGTCGAAGCTAAAAGGGAGAGTGCTGAAGGTCACTTCCGGCACGCAGGCCTAACTTAAATATCTGGAATGCCGCCAAGACTAAAGACTTTTGAGTGTGATATTCGCGTGCTGATAAATGTCATTTCCTATACTGTCTGCAAATAACAATCGGCATCTTGTAAAGGAATCATGCAATCAACAATGGTATCGTAATTGCGCTTGAGGTGTGTCCACATAGTGTGGTCAGAATTGTAGCTGCAGTGATCTTTGATATGAGAGCTACAATCAAAGCAATACCACATATTATCATGTCCATCGATTTCTCCAGCATGTCCAGGGCGTCGGATGAAACTATCATGGGACAGACGAATATGCTTGATCGCTTCTTGTAGATCAAATCTTGATTATGTTCTGTGCATGTTAAAGCCTGCATGTTGAGACATGTATACAGCTGTCCTAAAGCCTCAGGTATTCAAAGAATCTACGTAGCTTTCATCAATACTGGAACGAGCGATAATTGCCTCAATAAGATAAATGTACAGAAAATTTGTATGGTCTGGAAGTTAAATGAGTCGCGTGACCTGTGAACACTTAATTGATTCTTTAGTTATCTGAGGGTATTGGTCTTACGTCATCATATTGTACACGTCATCAAAATTATGCGAGACAATTAGCAGCTTCGGCTTTTGCGATCGAGGCTGTGTGCACAAGACAGCTCAAACACTTTTCTGGGCTTGTGCCTTTGAACATGAACTTTGACATTACATGACCCCACTTGTATTGCCTACAGTCACAAATTAGTCATTCACCAAGGCAGGAATAAAAATGCCAGTGACTTTCCTGAGTCTTCCTACTGAGCTCCGCAATGAGATATACAAATATCTCGTGTGTAGAGATCCTATTAATCCTTGGAGCAAAGGATATGAGCTTTCGTCGAATCTCCTCTCCACAAACACAAGGATCCTTCACGAGACCAGCTCACTGCTCTATGGCAATAACTGCTTTGACCTCTTGCCATCGAGCCCTATACGTATACCCGAATTTCTCGATACTATAGGCTTGGTGAACGCGTCTAATCTTAGTTGTATCCGCATCGGCTTTCCTGAATTTCGCGACGATGGAGAAGAGGTCAGCCTTGAGGAAGAAAGCCTGCGCACTTTAACAAAGATCCAAGCATACTGTACCAACCTCAAATGCATCACAGCAACTGCTCCAACCACATATTGGATTGGGATTCAACTATCAGTTGGCAGCCCTTCAATTTGCGATAGGGCATTGGATTTGGTTGCCGCTCACTTTAGAGCAATCACATCACTGCAAGATATTGTCATGGAAGTTTATGATGAAGGCCTGAACTCTTCTATCATAAGGAAAATGAAGAGTTATGGATGGACACTCAGGACGGTGGAGCCCATGGAAGAGGAGGAATGGGACAATGATAGAACTTGGGATGAAATTGAAGATGATTATTATCTTTACAACGACGACGATGATGATAATGATGACGGCTACGATATTGACAACGACAGTGACTTTTGGAGAAGGGCAGCAGACTGAGTGTCTTTCTGTTCTTATCTTTTCAAAGGGAAACAAACAAACTCGGTGGGTTTTATTCGCGGCACAGGTCAAACGGTGAAAGGTTATTCAATCCCGAATCCAAAAAAACAAAAAAGAAAAGAAAGAAAGAAAGAAAGAAAGAAAGAAACAGAGAATCTATCTCCAAACGCCAACGATATTCATACTATACATCGTCAAGAATGGGTGTTACTTTCTTCACAGTTTCGACCCAGTCATGAATATTATCTATAAACGTGCGAGCAACTCCCGGCATGACCCCTGTGCCAACAAAGAGTCCTGAATTTTGATCCTTATGTATGTGCCCAAGGTCGAAGCTATCTGACAGCCACATCACACGCTTGCCGGAATGGAGCTTTGAGTGTATCATCCGATACAGTTGATGCAAGCCACTCACCGTACTCTTTGACAGCTACGTCTCTAAAACCGGGAATCTTCAAAGGAGATGCATTGTTTGAAACTCTTAGGTCAGCTGTTGCACTGGAAGCTGTTGCACCTAATCCAATGGAGTGAGATGGCAGAACATTGATGTTGATAGGCGGATATGGTGTGACGCTGAGAACCTTGCCACTTTTACTTTTTCTTTCTCCTGCCGTTGCTATTCTTCTAAATGAAGCTCTTCCTGTATTTCATCCAGAACATCTTTATCTGTTTCAAGGGCACCGCCTTTCTCAGTATAGGTCACTAATCGCCTGAGGGTTTGTGTGTAAAGTCGATAATGCTTTTTTCCTACTGGGTTAAGCCAGTAGTAAGGTCCCAGGTGGCATGCAGGGGGATCGCATTTCATTAAGTCATACATATGGCGCCAAATTGCTTGCTGCCCACATGCATTTTCTTCAATGTCTAGCTCAGCGTCTTGATCATTAAGTAATCTGTTGGTCACAGATGATTTAACTCGCATTCTCCCCTTTTCAACCCGCGGATAGGGAACTGCTGTCTTCTACATAGTTAAAGCACACTCTCAGCGTGAGTCTCTTACCACGTGAAAACTGAATCGACCACATCCGAAATTTCTTCTCAATGGGTACCCAGGCGATATCGATATTGTTGAAACGCTTCGTCAGATCGCGCTGGGTTCGGTCATTGACCGAAGCAACAAACGCCGTGTCATCCACCCTGATCCTTTTTGTGTGTGATACTTTTTCTCGAAGAACCTTTTGTAGCTTCTCTTCTAGCACCAAACTCCAGTAGGCGCTCGGAGCCAATACTATGTCTTCCTCGGTGTCCTTCACGACGGCCTTGTTGTTAAGAGTAACCCGCCATTGTACGAAATAATGAATATAGCTTGGCGGATCTTCGTCGTAGGCCTTTTCTTTCTTCCACTCGGATTCTTGGAGCTGTGGCAAAGTGCTCGGTTGGGTTTTGATGCGGCATTAGGCTCATGCTCGAGGACAGATGGGGAGGGGCTATAGTTAGACCGTGCAGCATAAGGGCTCCGAAAGTATCCTGGGGTAGAAGAAGAATACTGAGAATCTTGATCCCAGGACTCCGGCTCTTGGAGCTGAGAGAATTTTGTTGTGAAAAGGAGTGTCGCTCATATTGACCTGATCAAAGTTCTGCCTGCAGATCATCATCAGCTTACGTGGGTACCAGCCATCAACAGAAGTTGTGAGCGAATAGGAATGATAGTGGTGAGCTGAATCCATGGAGTAACGTGAAACCCCTAAAGTTTATCTTATTAATCCCCGATTCATCACCACTTTCTGGCTTTGGCACAGGTGTGCTGCTGATAGAGCTTTTGTTCCTGTATTGATTATTTACTTCGACAGCTGACGCGGACCCAGCCTGTGCATGGGTGACGAATTCTGAAGCTGGGGTGGACAATCTAGGCGAAGATCCGGTTACGGACCTGGTCTGTGGACGTCTATATGTTTCTTTGGATCTACTAGACGATGAGTCAATATTTTGTTGGCGAGCAGTCTGCGCAAGCCCAGGCTGTTCTTGGGTGATAGAGGTGACAGACTCCAAAACGGGAGTAGATTGTTCACGCAGTGCCTCTGCTTTTGTCGCTGATACAGTCTGTGGGCGTCTTCTGGAGGGTTCTCGAGGCCCAGTAGCTTATGGACTGTTGGCTTGTTGGTCAGTGTCGAGTTCCTCGCCTGTTCCTGCAGAACCAGGCTGTGCTTGGGCTAGGGTATGGGATGAGACCCCGGGTTTGATGACCCACGCGCGGAATTTGCTCTCGTTACCAATCTGGTTTGGAGACGAATCCTAGGTGGTTCCGTGTGACCCCCTGGAATTGATCCAGCAGATGATGGGTCCATGGCAGTTTATAATTGTCGGACGATACCGTAGGAATAGGATCAACTTGATTCAATTTTAGTTTTTTAAGAAATATCACGGATGGTAGGAAGCCAGGGAACAAGCAAAAAAAGACCAAATGAACCCCTGCCAGCCGCGGAAAGATTTCAATTGATTTTCTAGGTTACCTCCGATGCTGAATCAAGATATTTAAAAATAATCAACAGGCGCGAGCAAAGTACGTAATTTATACCAACTGTGCAGAATGAAAAGAAATAGACATCAGCATTGTTCCCAGCCTCGCGCAGTGCTTTAATCGTCGCCAAAATATGGTTCCTCGTCGCATGGAAACGCTAATTGTAAAGCGACTTCGATATCGAATAAAGGTATATACAATAGTGGGTCAAGCTCGCACATGATGTAGAGGAGCTAGCTCTTCTTTTCTCTCGGGTCGATCGTCGATAGTGTATATAAAAGGGGCTGGGGGCTGCTGTTCCTGTCAGATCAGACTAGGATCTCGCCTTTTCTAGAGCCAGTCCATAGTGAATCCTAACGCATCATCGGCAATGGCCATGTCCCATATGAGGATATTTAGTATTATCGGGGCTCTTTTGTGGAGCATGCAACTCAGACTGGGAACAAGGTCAGTTCACTGCAGATTCCAGCCATGGTTTCGGTGATTCAACATTATCTCTAGCTGTATTTTGCCTACCGCGCATGCCACCTCAGCTGTGGCGAGCTCAGAGAGTCCTTCAACCGCCTCTGCTATCTTCCAGACTGGACAATTCCCATCAGCCAATCCTTCCAGGCCTACAAACCAGCAAAACAAGGACTCTCCCGCTGCCCACACACTGACGAAATTTGTGACCACCATTCTAGGAGGGGGACAAGGATCTCCGACACCGACCTCAACACAGACACTCTCCAATAGCGCAAGTTTTAACTCTGTTCCACCCCTAGTAAGTTAACCAATACTCTACTCGCAGTTTCTCTAGACCTATACCAATGATTGCATTTAGCAGCCAACCCATGGTCTGGATCAAAAGTTGTCGGCGTCACAATCTAGATCCCACTTATCAACCAATTTAGCTGGTGCGGGTACTACTTCTGCCCCAAGTACTACATTGAGCAGCTTAGATCATAGCCAGTTTGATGCCAAAGCTACCCTGACCACTTCTTCCCGTCTACAGGATGCTTCAAAAAGCGCCATAGCGGGCATGGCCACGCAAGATTCCACCAACAACACCACCAGGATATTGGAAGTGCAGGTATTGCCGTCCGCTGGGTCTGATAGCGACTCACATGGCTCCATATTTAAGCCGAACTCTCTCATGGCACAGCCCGGGGAGATCGTGAAGTTTTATTTTCATGATTCCTACCTGCTTCGAATGACGAGCCTAGAGGATCCCTGCTCTATTTTCCCTAGCAGTTTGAACGAACCTTGGGGGTCAGAGTCGATGGTAGCGTCATATCAACTTCCCGTTCAGTCTGCCAGCCCAGTGTGGCTCCATGTGAACCTGAATGATCCGGAATATACCTGCGATAATCGGACGGTCTTTGCCATCAATCCTGGAGACCATATGAATGACTTTCTCGCTCATGCTGTGTCATCAAATTGACTGACCAGCTCTATTCGTTTTGTACGTTCCCGCGCTCAATTTGAATTATGATATATCTCAAGTCGGCTCGAAAAGCAGTGGATTCTGGTTTTGTTATTCCTTGATTTTTTTTTTTTCTGATCTCGCCAAGCTTGACTTAGGTAGAAAAATAAAATGAGACATTTGGTCTTCAAAATTATGTATTATGCTGTCAGATACTGTAGCGGGTGATTTAGGAAGATTGAATAGCAACTGTTTATGATTTTTGAATAGGTTTTCCTCACCAGATCTCACCTCCCTTAACAATGCATTGCTAGGCGTTATTGATCCACCATTGCCGTTGTCTGACTAGCGACTATGAGGTAAAAGTGCTATTGAGTGCATTGTCATGACAGCATGAATGCTTATCGGCATAAGTCCGCAAGGTAGAATGATGATGTCTCAGTCTCCCACAGCGAGTAAAGTACTCAAGTAGATTTCAGAAACCTTATAATGACAGGCCATGAAATACTCTTTATATTCATACATACGTACGAAAAAAATTACGGTGGTATTTGATAAAATATATCAGCGGTATTCATTATATGCACACGGGTCTGTCGACCGGCACATCCATTGTTCTGCCATTTGGGTACACTACATAGGCTGGTAAATTGGTGCAGAGTTTTGACACGTTAATTTTGTGGTCTAATATAATGAAGAGACAATACTGTTGACCAAGACGTCACATTCTCCCAAAAGTTGATTTTCAAATGAATATGCTGTGATGAAATATATAATTCCGGAAACTATGTACTCAGTCACCGTTTACTCTCTAAACAGATATGTATCATAGATATACTTATACCGTCTTTATATTTTATATATATCTAGAAGCAAACATACAGCACATCCAAAGGTGTTGTCTGAGGGCCCATATCGGAGACCGGGTTTTCTACTAAACCAAGTAATATACGAATACAGTAGTATTAGCTATCTTCTACGTACGAAGCGTATCTATTGCCTATCTAATATTGCTTGTGCGTCAGCTATCGAGGGACTGCCCACTGTTTTGAAAATCAAACAGTGAAAGGCCAACAACAATCTATGAAATTCTGCGTAGTTGGGTTGGTCGCCCTTTACGACTAGGAAACTGTGCAGCCCACAGTGCAGTATGACCCGCTTCTTCGTCTCGCATAAGATGGACAATGATCACGGGCAGGCCTTCCATGGTCGGCAACTCCAAAGCGAGCACAGAGGCGTTGCTGGTCCATGAACCATTTCATGGCGTTGGGGAGTCCTCCGGCAGTAATCCGCTGGCTTTCAGCGATTCAGATGAACAGGGTAATTGGTTCATCCATTGTTGGCACCAGGAGCCGCATCGATAGAATATACCGCGAGCAAGCTGAACACACTGCCACCACCGTTGGATCTAGGCCTAGAGTATTATCATTGAAAAGATATTCCATGCATCCCCTGTGTAACCACCGAAAGGGGTTGACAAACACTGACCCAGACATACAGTACGGCATCGCATAGTGCCCGTTCCCGCCGGGAGAGGTCCAGACCTTTAAGCACGGCCTCTTGCAAATGTTGGTGGCGTGCTTCGTCGTACAGATCCGTCCCTGCTGGTAGGTGGAGTAGATAGTCCGAGGAGAAAGTGTCGGATACCTTGGCATCCCGCATCACGTCTTGCACAAAAAAGTGTCTTCGTCCTTCAGGCCGCTACGTGATCCGACTTCTGCTGCCTCCATCACGACAAGGACCCGCAGAAAGATACGAACTGTTTGTGCTCGTCACCCAGCCAAGGCCAGACTGGCTAACATGTTTCACGCTCCTTCCGGGCCGCCCAGGTCGTCTGCAAAAAGGCATACAACATTGGGCCACGGAAAGACTAAATGGGACAGAAGCATGTCCATCACGGGCAAGTCCAGTCCGGACGCCCAAGGAACCGAAATCCATTTCCGGCGAGGTCTCTCATTGCCCTGACGCTCGAGAGGCAACAAGGGATTCCCGTGGCCGAAGATAATGCGATGACATGAGTACCTTGGACTGTGGTCTTCTTGCAGGTAGAAGCCAAGGGATCCCGGGCTGAGCTAGGGCGCGAATAGGTAACGCAATACCTGATTCTTCTTTTTACGGTCCAGAAAACATGCGAACCGAGGATATTGTACTGTTGACTACCGACCAGAGAATGAGTCTTTGGGGAGCGTTACGGGTTGTAGTCCAAGAATGTACTGCCCACGCCAGATTTGAACCACCCGAAAGCAGTCAGTATCCGGGTTGGGCCGCATGGATATATGATAATGAAATATTCCATCCGTCCATAAAACACCAGGATGCCCAGTTCTCCGTACGAGATAAATAGGATATAGGGAACGACTGGTTGCTCCGCGCCATCATCGATGGTGCATCCCACTTCCTATGTAGCATTTTTGTCATGCCCCAATGTGCCGTAGAGACCGGGGCTATTTCCATGCTTGCGTCCTGGGTTTCTCAAATTTTTTCCTACTAATATTACAAACACAACTGTTGAATTCAGCTGCTGAGCCATGGTCCAGGTCAAAGCAATGAAGCACTTGTTGCTTTCAATTCGGGCTCGATGAACCACTTCATTGGCTTGCATTCGTCTCTGCACTACCCCGCGAGGTAAACTAGAACTGGAAAGGAAATTGAGCATCGGGCTGCTCACAAAACTTGGTGTTGAAGTCGAATGAAGTCGAGCAGATTTAGCGCTCTTTCGGCTACGTTGACATCTTGGCTCCCGTCCGGCCAACGTCATAGATTAGACCAAATCGGGAATAGCGTATACTCATATGGGCAGGGACTGCTGCTCAAGGAACAGTTTCCGACATCCCCCAGAATGATAACCAAAGCAGAGCCTAAAAGAATTTACGGCCTTGGTATCCTGAAATCAGCATTGTTAATGATTTAGCGACTACAGTGATTTACTCCTCAATTCTTTTCACCTCCGCGTGTATTTCCTCTATATATATATATATTAAATTCAGCAGTTTCCACTTTATCTTTAGAGAATACGCTGACAGAGATCCATCTACTTACATGTTATTTTCGTTGAATATACTCAAGTACATCTAATTGTACTCTCCCCATGCTGAATATGCAGAGGCACCAAATTTACATGGGCCACAACATAAAGTGCATTTCTACTATGGGAGACAAAGGAGGCCGAGAGAAAACTGCGCATTTGGTGCCACTGCGCCCAGTGTGCGTGTTATCTATTTTCGAGTTCCAAATTCCCTAAAAAAATGGCTAGGCACAGGTAGCATTCAACATAAAAGGTCAACTACGTCCAGGTCGTACAATACCGGGTATACGCTGTAGTTCTGCAGAGAAACACTGGCAATTCTTATTTAACTTGGTCCCTTTCTCTGTAGAAAACTACAAAGGTCTTAAGCTGTCAAGAAGACCCTTCAGAAAATATGAAGATTGTCTGGTTATCTCTCAGATGTGGATTTCCAGTCGCACTAGGGCATATGCAAATGACCAATCCAATCCCCATCCGGAGCCCCCTCAATGCTGCCCAGTCCAACCCGGACTACTCATATACATCTCCGCTCGACGCGTTGGGCTCGGATTATCCATGTAAAGGTTACGCAAATGATACGTTCACGTCTGTCTCCAATTATACGGCGGGCAAGGAGTATACGCTGTCGTTAGGAGGCACCGCCACTCACGAGGGTGGTTCATGTCAGATCGCGCTGTCTTACGATCAGGGGCAAAACTTCCATGTCATCAAATCTATACTGGGCGACTGTCCCCTTTCAAAGAACTACGCATTTCGAATTCCAGGCAATGCCCCGAACGGACAGGCACTTTTGGCATGGACCTGGTTTAATAAAGTGGGAAACCGCGAGATGTACATGGATTGCGCGCAGGTCACTGTACAACCTGACCGAGAACCCGGCCATTTTCAACCCGTCTCACAAACTGCTTTTGGAGACCTTCCACCGATTTTCCTGGCCAACATCGGCAGGGAAGGCCAATGCCGGACGAAGGAGGGGGAAGCGGTCAACTTTCCCAGACCGGGACATGATGTTGAGGGATATTTGGATTCTGCAGGCTATGACTGCACCGAGGCTGCACCATTTCGCGACGATCAGGGGGGGGTCCCAAATTCATTCCACGAGCTCGTCCGCCGAAATGGTGGCTACTGCGATTACCCGCACCAATAGACTACCTTGCGCAATGCCAACGCCAGGGCACACTCACGAAATGCAATCAATGGTAGCAACGGCAGCATTTTCGCCATCAAACGGAGCTTCTCAGAATTCAGCATCAAGTGCGCCTTGTGTCCCTGGATCCATAGTCTGTTTGAATGATGGCCATTCATTTGCTTTGTGTAATTTTGGGACCCCTGTGCCGATGGGAGCGGTTGCAGCGGGATCCCGATGCATCAATGGAGCAATCCATGCAGAGAAAGACATGAGAATTGGGTAACAAATTATGTAAAAAGTGCTGTATTGAAAATAAATCTCGCGTTTGCAAGTAGATTTAGAAAGTCACTACATTCCGTCAGACGAGAATAGCAACCATCAAGGCTGACGAGCAATGGATCAGTCTAACCATAACAATGTTTCGCTTCCCATCATTTCTATCAGTGCTTTAGAGAGCATTCATCCGCTCATTAAGAACTGACGCGATAACGCACTCGGGTAGACGCTGTTTGACCAGCAGAAATACGCCATGTGTAAACAGTGTTCGTTTGCGCTTCCCTGTTACCCTTACCTGTAGACATGCAAACCCCAGATGAGACAACAGTGAAATGCAGGAGACGAATTTGCAATCAGAATCAATCCACATGCCATGGATCGTATTTTCGCCCGAAGTATGGAATGGATGGTATCTGTGAATCGACATATCGTCATAATGCGTCCGGTCTGTCACTTTCTACATAAATAGTTAGATTTTCAAGCCATCCCAAACCCATCGTCTCTATACTTCTACGATCTAGTCCAAATTTTTTTCAAGAGTTGCACGTCCATACCAAATACGCCAATTCTCGGACAAAATGCAAAACTCAACCCCATCTAACGCACCACCCATACCAAACCATAAACAATCGGGCTTGATGCACGATGTTTGTGAGGTGGTTGGGGCACAGAACCCTTCATCTTTGGCTGATCCCTTAAACACACTTGAGGATTTCTATGCAGATAGCAGCGGGCCCATGGCTCCCACGACGCCTGGTACATCGGACGTGCACCGAGCAGCAAACCCCCGCGATTTATCTGGGGCCTACAGGAAGCCAGACGACAACCACGTACGCAGGCGTGGGCGACCTAAGAGGTATTTATTACCATCAGCTGTCAGCATTCTAATCGTCTTCTTGTTTGTATCAAGACTGATATCTGGTTGCAGGACGACAAAACTCCTAGGAAAAGGAAGCGTGCAGTTCAAGCCTGTTCATCCTGCCGCCAA